GTATATATAGCCCACAACAGATCTATAGGAATATAGTTAAATTAAAACGCTTTAAATATTCACTAAAGTTCATGAAGAATGGCATTACTTGCATAATTCAACCACATACACCAAGAAACAACATTTTCACAGTGCTGCCCTACATTTTATCCAAACGAATCACGCTCAAAGTAAATAAGTAATTTTCCTTGCATGTATAATCATTTAACTACATCCAAAGACATTACAAATAAAATGTGCAAATCTTAATAAGTTCAGCATCATGCTAGGTGCCTATTTCTTTTGCACGATGAGCTGCTTTAGAGATCGATAAAAAGTTCAATTTGTGCGTCATGTAAAATAGACATATTATACAGCATAATTTCCTAGTTTTCATTCACACATGCACCAAATCGAAACATTCTTCAATTAAAGCATCTTAACTGCAATGAAAATATATATTGTTATACCCAGGTTTTTATCGCATTATTTACTTTAAATGTTCAGATTTTAGTAAAGTAGATATTTAAATACAATGACACAGAAAAACGCTGGCATACATTCAACGCTACTAGACTTCCAGCAATCCCAGACCCTAAACGCACTGCTCTGGGCGGCCGCTGAAGTTATAATGCACAATATAACCTAACTGTCTTATACACGTGCTGTACCCTGCATACAAGCTCTTCGTTTTCAAGGTAGCGTATCAGGTGACATTCTGTTTACCTTTCGGATTGGGAGAAACGGACTGATGTTCCGTGACGTGTACCATCGGTGTAGAATGAGAGGGCAGACATGGCAGTTTGATTTGGATTGAGTCTAGTCAATTATAAATAAAACCCAGTCTCTATGCAGTATAATTATTCAGAAATAAGTTACATATTACTTTGAACTGTTTCGTAAAACTTACCACACGACCTTGGTTATTACTGGAAACATGTAAAGTCCGTAAAGCAATGTTTGTTTTATAAAAGTGATTAAAACAAAAACGTGCATCTCATCTATCATTAACATGCCATGTTCAAGCAAGGTTTATTTTCACAAATGGCGTACGTTTTATTCTGTAAACCTTCTTTGTCTTAGTGTTTCTGAAAAACAGAAAACGAAGAGAAATTGATCTGTTTATTATCCATTACCTATGGTTTTGACAAAAACAATAATAAAATTATATTCTATTATATTTCAACACGTAATATGAAGGTTCAACAACTATTTTTGTAGATCAATTACGAAATTAAAATACTATTTCGATGGTGGTAGACCCTGAACTAATGCGACAATAGTTCTATAAAAATTTGCTTATGTAGAAAGCAAATATTCGTTGCGAATATACGAAATATTCTTACAGTAATCATGCTGTTATTGATATTTAAAAATACATTACGTGACATGTAAAATTAGTCCACGATCTACTCTATATATAAACTTCGTACTAACGCAGGCCCAACAAACTTTGATCACAATTCACGCCATGATAACCACTAAACAATGTAACTAAAAACCTTGCCAAACTCCTGTAGAAAGCATTCACTAGCAACGAACTTGTACAAGAAAAGTGTTAACGAAAATGAGCAAGTATATCACACAGATGGAAACTACTTTTATCACACACAAACACAGAAAACACTGAAGATGGCAGAGAGCAACCACCTAGCTCGAAGGACTGCTCAAGGGAAGTGACGTATTCAGCAATCGAGAGTCGATTTCATGGTAACTTGTAAAGGTCATTCACACCCATACCAATCCATGACATTTAGTATCTTCTCCACCCTCCCCAACTTTAATAACTATCTACCACCTGGTAAGTTAGCAAGTTTTATAAATTCCATCATTTGTCACCACAATACACATCAAAATATCCCTAGCGTTTTAAGCGCGTTTTATATGTAATTTGCAATGTTATTACCACTATACTGTATGATTTATATTAAAACGTAACATATAGATCTACTTCAAGCTTTCCATCAGCCATTATGATGCCAAGTCATTTGCCATTACAAAACATGCAATGCAATCGTCACTGTTTCATAATTTTAATATTCTTTGCCATGAGACACTATAATCTGACAGACTGCATATACTTTCAGCAGAATTCATAATGCCACATTATGTACCATCACACAACACATCTAATGTAGCCCTTACCGCTTTCAGTGAGTTTCATAATTTGCATACTCCTTATCACTACAGTACAATCACACATACTTACACTTTTCAGGACGCTTCGTAAAATCACAAATGCCATAAACCTCTGTGAAAATTTAAATACATAGGAATAAATCATAATTTAATCTTGTAGAAATAAGAGTGTGTAAATTTGGGCTGGATTCATTGGCTTACGGTGGGGTCCAGTGACGTTTCATTGTGAACAAGGTGATGAACCTTCACATTACATAAACTTCAAGGAAGTTATTGACAAGTTGAGCAACTATGGGGTTCTCAAAAATTCTGCGACATGGAATTAGTGAGTAAAGGATAAGTTTAGGATAAGTAACTCTTAAGCTTTAATTGTTTTATTTCTTAAATTTGATGACCTCATGAAGCCGGCACTCTGTGACACACTATATAGACCACATTTAAAAACTTATAATTGGTATAAACCCTAGATGTAAGAAATACCAAGAAGTTGCAGTCGACTCGGACGGAGGAAGAAAGAATACAAATTCAGGGGGGGGGGGAATTTATTTTATAGAAAGACAGGTACGCATCGAAAGGAGATGTGACTGCAAACACTAGTATAACATTAAAAAAATGCATCTTAGGGAAACAGAATGTGAAATGTGAAAGAATCTGAAACGGACGGAACTAGAATCAATAGCAAGCGAGTTTTAGTATTAGCGGTAATCATTTTAGTCTTCAAATATGGCTGTCTTCTAGAACATAGTATAGTGTAATATGGCAGATAATGACTGACGTTTCAGAGTGCGTTACTGCCTCAACCATCAGGATAATAACATGCATAACTATGATGGCGGAGGCAGAAAGCTCCTCTGAAACGTTTGTCAATACCTACCAGACTACACTGTGGTACATCCCAGAAGACAACAGTAAGAACCTTGGATACAATATATTTTTATGTAAGTTTCAAAATTCTCTAATATCAATATCACCGACTCGATATTATAGAGTCCTTGAGTAGTTAAAAGTTATACAGTTACTTGTTATAGAGTCCGCATTTTCATCACCATCACCAAAAAATGATTTTCATTATTATTGATTGCAAACGGTGATATGTTCACAGATAATATACCTGGCTGTACAACACCTGTCCTTGACGGTCAACTTAGAAGTACTATGTTCCATGGACATTAAGAAGTCTACCAAAAGCACAGGCCTGGACACCTTAAGAACTGATTACACTTCCACAGAATCTGATCAATACGCCACTGCCACTATATACAACACTATAAAAGAAAACAATAATAGTTCTTTCTATACATATATGCCAACAGATGACCATGGTAATATCGATGAAAATAAAATACATTTGGGCAATATGTTAAATGAACATAACAAAACTACAATCCCTGATGTCTTTAATTATCAGCTGAAATCCATACATACGGACGTCTACAATAAAACCAACGACAGAAATAAAACATGTGACGAAAGCATGAAAATCTTGATTAGAAATGAACTAGAAGAATTTAATATTTTAAACAATACAATCAAAATCATGCTCGAAGAGGTTATAAATGGCACTTGGTCATACATCAACAATCACGACGAAGATGTAGGATGTAACGCCACCAATTTAGGTCGAGAGTATTTACAGCGGAAAAGTAATTTCCTCGTTAGAATAAAAAACATCAACACATTTATTGATAATTTTAACTGTACACCTATACATTTACCAGAGGAAGAATACGAAGACGAACTTCGAATACATAAAAATATAATTCTAAAATTTAAGTATCTGCGTGATTTAATAAGCGATTACTACAAAATTCATGAGGCAAAGGAAGAATCTGACAATATTATTGAAAAATACAACACATTTCGTTATCTTACTGATCTCAAAAAATCAATTGAGATAGGAGAATCAGTGAAGGCAATGATATACAGCATTCTTCAAAGCGTCCAATTCATAAACAGTTTCACACAAGCCAATAATTTAGAGGATATTTATGAAACTGATTTCACAACAGAACTCCTCGATTTAAATGTGTGGAAATTACAATTAGACAACAAAACGAAAGAGTTGGAACAACTTAACAGATACCTAGAAGATGAATCGTTCAGGGTTCTGATGCAAGAATATATACAGCCCACTGTACAAGGAATAATCTTCGTGATTGGTTTCGTCGGGAACGGAGTCCTGGTGCTTATCTTCGCCAGGCACAAAGATACACGAACAGTTCCCAACATTATGTTGCTGAACCTGGCTGTTGGGGATTTGCTTAATCTCATAGTAAACATCCCGACATTTTACTCCTATTCCATATCGACAAAATGGCAGTTTGGATTATATCTGTGTAAAACCTACCGTTTTCTTCGTCAGTTGGGTATCGGCGTCAGTGTGTACTCCATAGTAGTCATAAGTGTTCAGAGATTCATAGTCGTGACTGAGTCCATCACATTTCGAAGATATGGATGCCAAATACCGAACAAATTGAAAGTGCCTTTACTAATTTCAGTCGTTTGGATTATTGGTTCTATGATTGCCATACCTCATACTGTCTATGCTGGAATTTATGAAGGTAACTGTTATGGAGCTTCGGCTGAACATCACTATTACCCGAAGGCTATCACTTTAATAGATCTCCTTTTCTTCTGCCTCATACCTCTTGCCATAATAATCTTATTGTCAGTTTTGTCAGCTCATCAGTTGAAAAAAAGTGTCCGAAAACTGCCCGGCGAAACCATAGGAATGGAGAAAGTTATAAAAATACGAATTGTTAGTTCAAACGTCCTGATAGCACTGGCAATTCTGTCAGCGGTCAGCTATATTCCACTCCATCTGCTATTTTTTGTGTACGCATGGACCGACTTCAGCATCTCCCAGTCAACGTACTACGTAGTTTCCCTCATTACATACACTCTTATTTTCGGAAATTCTTGTTTCAACCCAATAGCACTGTATATGGTTAGTAAAAAATTTAGACGCTACTTTAACACATACCTGTTTTGCAGAAGAGAAAGGAAAGCCAGTGAAAGCCAGAATCAGGCACCAACAGGAATTTCTGCAATAATGGCCGAAGATACATTGTAATTACGTTGCCAATTAGTTCTGGACAGAGGGACTCGCTCTACAGTAGAGATAATTTTTAGGCTTTTGTAAACGTGTAATTTAGACAAAAGCAGCATTTCCGTCATCCTCATTCAAAAACTTCTGTAAGCGTGACTACAAGACGCGGGGCTAAGATGTTTAACCCCTCAAAACCCAGTGGCAACAGCATGCACCACGTGCTTTAACAATCAGAAATTCTGCATTTCTTATAATATGAGCATTTTTAAGCTTATATTTGTACTATTTTCCCCCATTAAAGGCTATACTATTGTCATAAGAAAAATAACAAGAATACAATTTACCCAGTCACTTTCATGTACATACATGTGATCTTAAAATAAAGAGTGGTTCATGATAAAACAGCCGCATTCTTTTCATTTTGAAGGCCCCTATCCGTAAAACTGTTCTATTCTCCTACCTATCTTATCTAAAGAGAGGCGACTTTAATATTTTCATACCGATCTTGTTGAAGAAACAAGGTTATAAAAGTATATAGCATACACCTAACAGACGAGTTCAGAAGAAAGAATAGGTAGTATATAATATGCTAGCATCAATGCTTGTTCCTAGTATTTATAATAAAATAAGATAAAATAAAAAAATATGAGAAAGGGAAATTATATACTGTAATTCAGGAGGTACTTCACTTTAAACAATTAATACCCAAAGGAGTAAAATATAAGCAGACAATTTCTAATGAATCAAGAATTTACTTTCAAATTAATTTAGAGGATCAACATATAAACACACACACACACACACACACACACACACATATATATATATATATATATAACTGTACAAATACACGAAAATGAGTGTTTATATTCTTAAAATTAACAGGCTAGCCAGAAAAATGTTTCGCAGCGAACACAGCTCTTGGTACCTAGCAAGGCTTATTTACAATTCATGTTAGACATTAAAATGTAACATTCCCTCATACAGCCTGAGTTTATAAACTGCCCCGTAACAGTTTGTAAACACTGACGTAACTTTGGTGGAACCCTGTATACTTATTATTAGCTTATTCATTAAAGCACACGCACAACTGCCTTTACTGTAAACGAGATGAAACCGTGCGTTTCCCCTACGTCACCAGCTTTCGGGTGGAAGAAAAACAAACGAATGGATTATGTACACCAAATACATTACCGTCAAAAATATTGAGGCATCGAGTTACAAAGTAGTGCCGCTGGAAAATAATGTTTTTGTGTATTTTGAATATTTAAAAAGAAATATTACAAATGAATGATACAGACCTTAAATATGTTGTTCAAGGAAATCAGAAATAATATAATATTTATTTTCCCTCCAGTTCCTTAAATATTGACCGTTTTGAAAATGTTACAAATGAATGATGTGAATATTAAACAGGCTTCATATAAATCTACTATTTTTCTC